TGCGCAAGATAACGAGTACATTTCTTATCAAGTGTTGTTGCCTCCTCATTGAACCAGCTTTGCATCCCTGAAATGAATCCTGTTTGATCATGGTATATGATTTTTTGGATGAATTGTTGAAGTTGATTGGCCAAAATTTTGTTGAGAAGTTTTGCATCAATGTTCATCAAAGATATGGGTCTATGGTTCTCTTTCTTTGATGAATCCCTGCCTGGTTTTGGGATGAGGGTTATTATAACTTCATAGAATGAATTTGGTAGTGAACTTTCTCTTTCAATTTCATTGAAGAGTTGAAGGAGTATTGGTTTGAGTTCTGCTTTGAAGGCCTTTTAGAATGTCTCTGTAAAACCATCTGGTCCTGGGCTTTTCTTTGAGGGGAGGTCTCTTATTGCTGTTTCTATTTCAATGCTTGATATGGGCCTGTTAAGATGTTTTATGAGCACACAAACTACCAGACTCTCTGGGACACAGCAAAGGCAGTACTCAGAGGTAAGTTTATAGCTCCGAGTTCCTACATCAACAAATTGGAGAGATCTGAAACCAACAATTTAATAAGACAGCTGAGCATCCTTGAAAACGAGCAGTAAGATAAACCCCACTCCAGTAGACAGAAAGAAATAATTAAAATTAAATCAGAATCAAATGAATTAGAATCCAAAAAAATCCATAGAAAGAATCAACAAAACAAAGAGTTGGTTCTTCGAAAAAATTAACAAAATAGACAGACCCTTAGCAAATCTTATCAGAAAAAGAAGAGAACGCACCCAAATAAATAAACTCAGAGATGAGAATGGAAACATCACCACAGAAACAACCAAGATTCAGAACATTATAAGGGAATACTCAAAACTTCATGCTAATAAATTTGAGAACTTGGCAGAAATGGACCTTTACCTAGCAAATATCGACATGCCGAAACTAAACCAAGATGAGTTAAACTATCTTGACAGGCCCATATCAAGCATTGAAAGTTCTTCATGGTGTGACTTTGAGCTGCTATCTCGTTCATCAGTGATCAGGTCGATGGGCATTTTCCCCTTCAACTACTATACCAGTAACTACTACACAAGTGATAGAAATTGTCACACAGTTCATGGACCTTTTATAAAAGGTCCAAAAGCGGAAACCTTCATACTAGTAATCCTGTACCATCAAATTATCCATCTCTGTGCTTGATGAAAAAAGGGGCTTTTTGGTGTAGAGCTGCTTGGTGTAGATTATTATTTCCTCATTGAAGGAGTGGGAGGAGCAGATGTCCTTGCTGTCTATGCCAGGTTCCCCTGGAGTGCAGGGGAAACTTGCACTTCCCAAAGACCAGAGCTCACAGGGGAAACAATGGTTTCCTATAGATCACATCCTTGTCTTTCCTGAAGTCATCCCTGACCACTGACCCTATGCTGGCCATGTTGACATTGGGGTGTGGAGCATGTACCACAGTGCTGTGTGGCCTTCCAAGTATGCCTCTTTGTTGTTCCATTTATTTCCTATAGAGTCTTCTAAGATGGTGAGCTCATTATGGGTTATACTAAAGAGATTTGAATTGTTCTCTCTGTGTCCAAATTCAATCTTGAGTACAACTCCTCTCAGGGTGCTCACACCTAAAAAGTCATGCAAATCATTCATACAACTCAGAAGAATAAATGACTATTAAGTGTTTGAAATTCAAGTCCTAAGTATGTATCTGTCCCATTCCATGGGGCAGCAGTGGCTTATGCCTATCATCCTCATTACCCAAAGGAAGCTGAGATCCAGAAGGTCAAGGTTTAAATTTGTGCCACACAGAAAATTCTTCTTCTTTTTTTTGAAAATAACCAGCAAAAAAAATCAGGCTGGAATTGTGGATCAAATGCTAGCGTGCCAGCCAAGCAAGTAAACAAGCAGAGGAATGTGAGACCCTGAGCTCAATCCCCAATATATGGACTGGAAACTCTACATAAATGCAGAAGGTGGGCTCCCAGAGCCCGGGCCTGGCCTCCATGGAAAAACTCCACAAAGATGTGGTTGAACTTGATGGCAATCTTATCAACACATTTTATTGCTGGCAAAACTAAATTGGCCTGCAGAGAATGTGTTTCTCTTTGGAAAACATTTGACTAAAGAAGACTTTTTAAAGACAATTTTCAAAATGTATAATGCACAGAAACAATTGATGAAACAGGATAGTTCATAAATATATTAATACACATTTTTGTTTCTTCTTTTATATTTTATTCATTTTCAATTATTCTTACTGAAAAAAATCACTTGGTGTTCTCTTTATCAAATAAGTGCACATTCATAATTGTTTTCGCTTCCTCCTTCCCTCCCTCCTTTCCTTCCTTCTTCCCTCCCTCCCTCCCTCCCTCCTTTCCCCTTCCTTCCTTCCTTCCTTCCTTCTTTCTTTCCTTCCTTCCTTCCTTCCTTCCTTCCTTCCTTCCTTCCTTCCTTCCTTCCTTCCTTCCTTCCTTTCTTCCTTCCTTCCTTCCTCCTTCCTTCCTTCCTTCTTTCCTTCCTTCCTTCTTTCCTTTCTTTCCTTCCATTCCTTCCTTCTTTCGTTCTGTTTTTGCTTTCTTTCTTCCTTTTCTCTCTCTTTCTCTGTTACTCAACCATTCATGCCCCTGTCTTTTATCCTTTCCCATTGAGGAGAAAGACTGAGGAGAAAAGAGAGAGGAGAAGTGGGAAGTGGAAAAAAACACTAAAGAGAGACAGAGATTGAGACAGAGACATAGAAAGAATGTGTCCTTCTTGATCTCTTCTCCAGCAAGTAAAGATGTACTTGAAGAAACATCTTGGATCTGGAGGATAGACATTTGATCAGATGTCATACAATGGTCTTTCAATGGACACCCTAGCCCAGTTTCATTGGAAGAAGAGCCATCTTGGCCTTCGACATGCAGATCCCAGAATCTAGGAATTCTTAGCATCTTAGTGATTTCCCACAATGCATCTAAGTAAGGATGAAGAAGGAAGATACCATGGAAACCTTACTATGATGAGGTTGGAACATGTCAGGTCCAAAAGGTGTCTGTGAAGTCATTTTTGTAATTATTCAGGTGGTTTCAGTGAGTGTCGAGATGTGAAGTCTGACCTCAACTTTCAGGCACTGGAAGAAACTGGAGAGATTTGGATCAGGGGCCTCTGTCCAGGGCTGACACTCTTGCTCTGAGCTATAAAAGAAGTAGTCACGCTCCAGAGTGATGGAGCTGAGAACCTGGGGATAACAACGGCTCTGCCCTGTGGTGGTCTTGGATTCAGTGAAGGAAAATGCTCACCACTCACTGGAATTGAACCCAAGTTAAAGGCCATGGGTCCTGCCTGAGGCAGAGCTACCTAAACCTCTACCTTGCTTTGATATGATATTCTGACAGGAGGACAGAATGGGAGGAGCATGAAGAATAAGGAAAGGGTCAAGCTAAGCTTCCAGCTTCAGAGCCATTTGCCTCTTCTTTGTTGCACTACAATGATTCATGTTCAAGTAGTTATGTGAGAAAATACCTTGCCTCAGCCTGGTGGCAGACTTTACTCCCTGTGAACCCCTAATACATCTGTCAGGTTGAATCAGTCACAGAGTATTTGATATAAACTGTGGAGAGTAGAATAAATGGTGGTAGTCTTATTTCTCTACTTCTAACAGCAAGGCTGCCAGGTGTTTCTTTAGTGCTTGATTGGATGAGGTTCAAACTAAAAATTGAACAGAAGTTAATACCGCAGACCTATCTTACTTTTACTTCTAAGTAATCTTGAATGAGGGCCTTGAAACTTCCCAATTCTTTAACAGAATTAGTAAAAAGCATCACTCTATTGGCCACAGCTGTGTGTGTGTGTGTGTTTCAATAGCACAGAAGAAGTGGGCCTTATCTCTGACCCCACAGTGAATGATACCATCTACCTGAAGATATCATTGTCCACTACTCTAGATCCAGGTTTTCTAATCCACAGTACTTAGGGAATCATGTTCACTGTCCTGGCCCAGAAGGAATCCAGGCTGTATTTTCTTGCTGTTCCAAATTGGGTAAGTGGGTAGTCATGCTTTGCCCAAGGATATCCCATTTGAAGCCAGAGCAGCACTTTGTCTATTGTCTGTGGCTCTGGACATCATTCCTTTAAATCACACATTTCCCTATGGCAGTGAGACTCCTTTTCCTTTACATCTGTTTTATATAATCCCATAAAGCTTTTTTTGTACTATTTCAATTCCAGAAATGTCTTTGCACACTCAGGATAAAGGACTTCATTTATAAGCAGAGTCCAACTGTTTTCATGCAAGGCCTAATTGAAAGCTGGTTTAGGGACATGACCCTATGTGCTTAGTGACTGTGTGGTGCCAATCCAGTTCCTTAGCTTCTCTTTCCCCCAGTGTCCTTATCTGTGTAACTGTTAGAATAATTTTACTGCTATGAGAGTGCAGCTCAAGTGGGAGAATGCCAGCCTAGTGAGCTCAAGCTCCTGATTTCCAATCCCAGTACCACCAAATTGACCAGTTTCACAGTACATTTGTTTGTGTTTCAAACCTTTTTCATCTATGGTCATGGTTGATTACAGTCCTGTGGTTGAACTGTCTCACATGTTTTTAAATCTTATTTTAGCTTACTTGACAACTTCCTCTGACCAACTTTTTTTTTCTCCTCAGATTGACAACGTTCATCTTAAGTGAGGGAAATTTCATCTTGTTTTCCTCCTCCTCCTTTTCTCCCACCTCCTTCTCTCAAGGACTCCATTTTGAGCAGTTAAATATATTGCATAAATGGAAAGTCATTTTACAATTAGATATTTTCAAAATAATCTATGTTGATCTATATACTTCACCATCCAAACAACATTAGGAAAAATATAATATGAAAATTGAAGTTGAAAATATTTCTAAAAGTCAACAGCTATTAGTGTTAATTCAAAAGCTATTCATGTCTAAGGAAGACAGAAACAATGGGAAAACACCTTAGTTGTTTAAAGCATATATAAAAATCTATGACAAATATTATATTCAGTCGTGGTATATTTTACATTTTTCCCATCAGACTGTATTAAATGCTGAACTGTTTATTATCACTTCCTTACATACAAAGTTATGCAGGTTGTCCTCCTCCAAATTCTATAAATCAAGAAATAAAGAAAACATTAAATTGAGAAATGAAGTAGCTGATGAACTTTGTCACAAAATACTAATGAGTATAAAAATAAATTATTGAAAATAATAACTTTGTAAAGTCTGTGCAAACACAGTGAATAGAGATTTCTAACAAAGCAACAGAGTGAAGAGTAGATTGTTGTAATCGTTTTTCTTTGTGTTCCCATGACTTATTTTCATCACGTTCTTCTGGAAGTCATTTTCTCCAATGTTTCCTGTAGAGTTTCTGCATGAGGAGTCCTCTGCAAGATGGAAAGTTAGAAGAGTTTGCTTTATTTTTATTTATTTATTTATTTATTTTTCAGGTAAGGGGTAGGTTTATTCAGTAGACCTGCTGGGACCAGGCTAGGTTGGCACTCCACGTGGTTGGGAAAGGCCTGGGAAAGACCTGAGAAAGAGAAAGAGCTGGGAAAAGAGGTGGGAAAGAGCTGGGAAAGAGAGCAGGGAAAGAGAGAGAGCTGGAAAAAGAGCTAAGAGAGCTAGGAAAGAGCTGAGAAGGAAAGAGCTGAGAAAGAGGATCTGGGCCTGGGCTAGGCCTTATCTAGGGTATGGGCAGAGAAAGGTGTGGCCACTTCAAATTCAGATGTGACCTCAGAGGATGTAGATGTGACCTCTTCCAGGTGTGCCAGTTGCCTAGGTAATGCAGGTACTGGGCAGAGACTTTGATGCAAGGAGCGTGGAGTCTTCTTGCCATCCAGGAGCAGACCTTACATTTCCGCCTTTTAATAATCATGAAATAGGGTGCAGATTCTCTCTGGCTACTTCCTGCTGACAAGGGGCATTGACATTAGGGGTAAAAGGCTGGAATTTGGTCCCCTCCCAGAGAAGCAGTGAGCAGCAGCTGTACCTTGGTGGCATGAGTCCTTAGATGAAGTCTAGAGAAGTCTCATGAGGCATTGAGGGGCTGAAAAATACTACAGAGCAAATAAATGGCAAGAGGAAGGACTTGGGGCTGAAAAATGTTGGTAGAAATGTCCCTAGCTACTTCTGACATCTGGTGACTAGGTAGAGGAGAAGTCCGGTAACAAAGGCAAGAATATAAATTCTTGTCCAGTTAAAAGTTAGACTAGTATAGACATTAGATGGGCAGGCTTCTTACTTCTATTGACCTCCCGGCTCTGGTTAATTTTTAAAGGGCAGGCACAAAGTTGCTGATGTGATATCATCTCTTCTTATTCCTCTCCATGGTCCTTTGTTCCCCAGACTGGCTGAGTCTAGGTGCATGTTGCTGGGATGGTTTTGTCCCAGTTGGTATTTAAGGAGGATTGAACTCAAGGCCTGGGCACTGTCCCTGAGCACTTCTGCTCAAGGCTAGTGCTCTACAATGTTGAGTTTCAGTACCATTTCCGGTGTTTGGCTGATTAGAGATAAGAGTCTTGAGCCATGCTTCAAGCCTGGCTCTTTGCAGGTTAATTGGGAGATGGAGTCTTAGGGATTTTTTGGCCCAGGCTGGCTTTGAACTGCAAACTTTGCCACAAAAGCCCTTTATTATTTCCAATTAAAGCAACAAGGAGATAAAATAGAATAGAGCTTACCTGGTCCTTATCAAGAATTGACCAACAAATATTCTGCAATGACAAATCTTATTAGATGTGATGAGAATTTTAGCACATAGGCCCAGAATTTTAGAACCACGTAGTCAGTAGTAGAATACACAACACAAAACAAAAAAGGCAAAACTCAAAACCTAAATTTTTGACAATGTGTAAACATCTTTGCTAACAAAGCACATCAGGTGGTTGGGCCTCACTTACCAGGGCCTGTGAAAAGAGCAACTTGTTAGCAAGGCACCTTAGAATAGATGGATGGAGTGGTAAGCTTGGTGGAAGGTTAATGGTCAGATGGGGCCAAACCCTTAACCCTCCATGTGGCCAAGATGGCAAACTCAACATGGCGAATTTCTGAAAGAATGCAAAGAAACCCTGAACAAATTGATCAAGCCTACATTGGCTAGCCTTTGAGAGAGAACCTAGAGTGTTGTCCCAGGGACCCAGCCTGCTTCGCACTCTTCAGGGCACAAGCCAAAATGTAGAAAAGAGAAAGGGAGAGATAGGGAAAGTTGGATATGACTGGCAGAGAGAGAGCAAAGAGAGCTTGAAAGTAAACAGACTTCTGACCATTTGCCATTGCAGTGGCAAAAACTGTCTATATCGGAGAATGGGCAGAAAAATTAGGTGCTCTGGCTTTCCAGGAAATGCAGGAGGCATTTCAAAGGGGTCTCACTGCTTGGGTGTGATGCACAGCACTCCATTAAATGTGTAGGAGAGTCAGTCTGGTGAGTGAAGGAGAGCTGACCAGGCAGAAGCGGCATCCCGACTTCCCCAAGAGCCCTCTAGAGAGAAATGGCCAAGCCCCCAAAATCAAGATCCTAGGCTTCAGAGTTGACCGGCCTTTCAGCTAAAGGTCATAGGAGCTCTCTGGTGTGGCGCCACGTCTGGACAGAGACTGAGCATCAGAGAACCATAGAGAGTAGTTTCACTCACCAGAGTAGAGAAGTGGTGTGGATGTGGATGTGAAGGCCAGCAATGATATCGATGTGCTGTGTCCACAGCAGACAGATGGGTTCACAAAAGGCTGTCAGAACTGTGGGTATTCCTCAGAGCAAAAAGGGAAAAACAAAATAAGAAAAAAGAGGAAGAAAATCAGAGAGGAATCACACCTATCCTGACTTGAAGGCCTTTATCCAAGTCACGGCACCATTTATGTTAGGTTTTTAAAAAGAGGTAGCCAAATAAGAACAGCACCAAGCACATGGTATTTAGGTATAGGGTAGGTTTATTCAGTAGACCTGCTGGGACCAGGCCAGTTTGGCACTCCACGTGGCTGGGAAAGGCCTGGGAAAGACCTGAGAAAGAGAGAGAGCTGGGAAAAGAGGTGGGAAAGAGGTGGGAAAGAGAGCAGGGAAAGAGAGAGCTGGGAAAAAGAGCTAAGAGAGCTAGGAAAGAGCTGAGATGGAAAAAGCTGAGAAATAGAAGAGTTTGCTTTAGAATGCACTGACACCTGTGGGCAGACACTAAGGTGGGGGGGGGGGGTTGGAGGTCACCTGTCAGGAACTACAAGCAGTTGATAGCATTAGCACTCACCCCTGAGTGTCTAGACAGGACAAGGACCTAGGTGAGGAGGCCTACAGTTTCACAGGTAGATGATCTGCATCTGAGGAGCACCAGAGAAGGCTCCAGTTCGTTGTTTAGCTTTACTCAGGAACATAACCTCAGTCTCAGTTTGGTTGTAGCTTATATAAATTTACCTTATTAGAAAATAAAATAACTGCATGGACTAACTAGCATTCATTACAAATGAAACCTAAATAAGTGGTGCTGTAGCTCAAGTGGTAGAGTGCTTTCCTTGAGCTGAATAGCTAGCTGAAGGACTGCTCCCAGGTCCAGGGTTTAATCCCCATGGCCAACAAAAAAACAAATCATATCAAAACAAAACAAACCCAAATGAACCCTAAATAATGCTCGGACAACTCCTACCATGCTGTGATGTGTGTGCTCTATTGAATGAGGAGAGGTATTGTCATGTTTGTACTGCTGTAGAGAGAGCCAGAGTAGAGAGAATTCTGCCCAACCACTCCTACCAAAATCTCCAAGTGACCTTCAGAGTCCTTCTGTGTCTGAGAAGCTCTGTCAGCAGGTGGAGGAAACAGAAGAGGTCACTGAGACAGCCCAGCCTCTCACTTCTGCTTCACTGAGAGGTTTTGTTTTGACCTGTATCACTGTGGGAGGAAACTCATCATACTGTTGACAGAAATAAGAGGCAGCATCTTCATGCTGCAGGCTGCTGATGGTGAGAGAGTAATCTGTCCCAGATCCACTGTCACTGAACCTGGATGGGACATCTGATTCTAAATTAGATGCTTCATATATCAGCAGTTTGGGAGCTTTCCCTGGTTTCTGCTGATACCAGGCTAACCAACTGCTAATGTCCTGACTGGCCTGGCAATTGATGGTGACTGTGTCTCCTGGAGATGCAGACAGGGAGGATGGAGTCTGGGTCATCTGGATGTCACATCTGGCACCTGACAGTGGAAACATAAAAACAAATATCTACCTTGATAATCATGGTACAGGAGGCTTCCCTGGAGTACCACACAGCCCTGACAATACAAGGCTGAGTTAATTTCCAGCATTGTCCTTCCTTACCTCAGAGGCAGAGCAGCAGGAGCCCCAGGAGCTGAGCAGCCCTCATGTCCATGCTGTGTGCTGACTGGGAATGACTACTGCACAGTATGTGAGTACCTATGAATAAGTGCTAAGAGCAGTGGGTTGTGCTCTGAGCACAAGCAAATCAACAGAGGGTGGGCAGGGTTAGGCACAGCTGCAGGATTGGCTCGACTCCATGAGTCACCACAGGCCTTGCATTCACAGATGTCCCAGAGGAGAGAAACATAACATTGTCTGCAAAGAATATGTTTCTCTATGGAGACAATTTGACTATAGAAGACAGTTTTATTACTATTTTCAAAATGTATAATGCACAGAGACAACTAATGTAATAGGGTATTTCATAAATATATAGAAACATAATCTTGTTTCTTCTTAGATCTTTTATTCACTCTCAGTAATTCTTCCTGGATAAAAATCACTTTGTGCTCTCTTTACCAAGTAGTTACACGTTGAAAATTGTTTCCTCCTTTCCATTCCCTTCCCTTCTCTTCTCTTTTTCCTTCTTTCCTTTCTTCCTTTCTTCCTTCCTTCCTTCTTTCTTTCCTTTTTTCCTTTCTTTCTTTCCTTTCTTCCTTTCTTCTTCCATTTCAGTTTAGTTTTTGGACTTGGGGCTTCAAATAAGGGTCTGGGTATTGTCCTTTAACTTTTCCCCTGAAGTTTAATGCCCTACCAAATGAACCACACTTCCATTTCTGGCTTTTTGGTGGTTAATTGGAGATAAGAGTCTTATGGAATTTCTGTGCAACCTGTCTTCAAGCAACAATTTTCATATCTCTCATTAATGTGTAGGTTGATTGAAAGGTATTTGATATGAGCACCTACCTAATATGCCCTCTTTTTTTTCTGTGTCCTCATCCTGGGGCATGAACTCAGGGACAGGGTTCTATTTCTTAAATTTTTGTTCACAAAGCTAGCTCTCTGGTATATCACTTGAGGGCATAGTAGTACTTCCAGATTTTGCATGGTTTATTGGGAATAAGAGTCCCATGGACTATCTCTGCCTGGGTTGGCTTCAAATTGCAATCCTTGGATCTCAGCATACTGAGTAGCTAGAAGTAAAGCATGAGGCCTGCATGTAGAATTATTTAATTTCTTTTTTAAAAAATATTTTAGATATGTGACCCTTGTATGTTGCATAGATAGTGAAGATCTTCTCTCAATCCATGGGCTTTCTATTGATCTTGCAAGCTATGTCTTTTGCCATACAGAAACTCTGCAGTTTCATGCAATTCCATTTGTCCAAACTTTCTTTGATTTGTTGTGCTTCTGGGTCTCTACTGAGAAAATTTCAGCTTGTGTCTAGAAGACCTAGGGTTTCTCCTAGTCCTTCCTGTAATGTTTTCAGAGTGTCTGCTTTGACTCCGAGGTCTTTGATCCATTTGGAGTTGATTTTGGTGCAGGGTGATATAAAAGGATATAACTGTAGTTTTCTATAGGTGATTAACCAATTTTGCCAGCATCATTTACTGAAGAGGCTGTCTTTATTCCATTCTATTTTTTAAGCCTCCTTATCTAAGATTAGGTGGCTATAGGCCTGTGGGTTCATTTCTAGGTATTCAGTTCCATTCCCTTGGTTCTCAGGTCTGTTCTTATGCCAGTACCAAGCTGTTTTGATTACTATGGCTTTGTAGTAAAGTTTGAAATTGATATTCCAGCATTATTCATTCTGCAAAGGATTGTTTTTGCCATTCAGGTCTTTTATTGTTCCATATGAATTTTTGGATTGTTTCTTCTATTTCATTGATGAATGAGGTTGGAATGTTGATAGGTATCGCATTGAATTTGTAGATAGCCTTGGGAAGTATTGCCATTTTCATCATGTTGATGCTTCCACAGATCAAGAGAAAGCCCACGGATTGCGAGAAGATCTTCACTAGCCATAGAAAGGACATATCTAAAATATACTTAGAACTCAAAAAATTAAATCCCACATTTTCTTGATCCATTCATCTACTGAGGGGCATGTGGTATATATACACAATGGAATTCTATGCCTCCATCAGAAAGAATGACATTGCCCCATTTGTTAAGAAATGGAAAGACTTGGAAAAAAATTACATTAAGTAAAGTAAGCCAGGCCCAAAGAAACATAGGGCCCATGGTTTTTCCCTTATTTGTAATAACTAGTGTATGTCTGAGACAAGCAAAAAAGATTAGATAGGTTGATGTTAGGTGAAATGAACCCCAAGATAAGTATTCAAATGTTTTTTTCTTTCATGCAATTGTTTCTAACATATTTATAAGATGATTTCTTTGTTGCTTTGTATGTCCCTCCCCCATGGTATAATCTTTGCTTTCACTGTATTTGATGTTGGTATAATTTGTGGAGGGGAAGGGGAAACAATCATTTCAATAGGGATACAGGTGGACCATTGTAACAATGAGATGTACAAATTGTTATGTCAAAAAAAAACTGGTGGGGGGATGGGAAGGGAAGGAAGGGGAAACAAAGGAGGAGGCTACAATGCTTGATAAGAAATGTACTCATTATCTTACCATGTAATTGTAACTCCTCTGTACTCTATTTTCACAGTAAAAAAATTAAATCCCCCAACAACAAATCCTCAAAGAAACAACAACCCAATAAATAAGTGGGTAAAGACTTAAAGATAAACTTCTCTGAAAGGAAATAAGAATGGTCAATAGAGACATGGAGAAATGATCTCTAGCCATAAAAGAAATGCAAATCAAAACAACATTGAGATACCACCTCACCCCAGTTAGAATGGCTATCTATAATCAAGAAATCTAGTAACAACAAATGCTGGAGGGTATGTGGCCAGAAGGGAACCATACTTCATTGTTGGTGGGAATGTAAACTTGTTCAACCACTTTGGAAAGTGTGAAGGTTCCTCAAAAGATTCCACATAGAGTTCCCCTATGACCCAGCAATCCCACTTTTGGGCATTTACCCAAATGATCACAAACAAGACCATCCTATAACTACCAGCATAGCTATGTTTATTGCAGCATTATTTACCATAGCTAAGACATGGAACCAACCCAGATGCCCCTCAGTAGATAAATGGATCAAGAAAATGTGATGTATGTATGTATATATAATGGAATTCTATGCCTCCATCAGAAAGAATGACATCGCCTCATTTGTTAGGAAATGGAAAGGCTTAGAAAAAATTATATTAAGTGAAGTAAGCCAGGCCCAAAGAAACATCAGTCCTGTGGTTTCCCTTATTTGCAATAACTAGTATATATCTGGGACAAAAATAAAAAGTCAAAAGCTATGTACATATGCCCATATAAGATGATGTTAAGTGATATGAGCCCCAAGATAGGGACACAAGTGTTTTTTTCTTTCTTGCTATTGTTCCTAACATATTTATAATGAACCATACGATTTTTTTTCTTTCTTTGTATGTTCCTCCCGCATAGTATAACCCCTGTTTTCACTGTATTTGATGCTCTGCATCTTGTATGTACATTTCTCTAGCTTGGGGAGGGGAAGGAAAAAAAATCGTTTAAATAGTGATACAGGTGGACCCATTGCAACAATGAGATGTACAAGTCCTTATGTTAAAAACGAACTTTACTTTCTTCCAAGGCCTGTTTAAGG